TGCTCCATCCCTGGGAGTGTTCCAGGCCAGGTTGGACAGGGCTTGGAGCAACCTGGGCTGGTGGAAGGTGTCCCTGCCCATGGCAGGGGTAGAAGGAGATGAACTTTAGTGTCCTTCCCACCCAACCCAGTGTGGGATTCTGTGATTTCACTCTCAGTTCTCTGCTAACCTTTGGTTCTCCCCTTGCCCCCGGGTACACAGGAGGAGGGCAGGGCTGAGGAAGGCTGTGCTGCAGGCGGAGCTGGCTCGGAGCAGGAGGACAGATATCAGGGCCCTGAAACTCTCCATAAAAGGTGAGAGGTGCAGAAACCCTTCCCCCCTTGGACTCTCACTGTGGTAACCTGGTGCTGTGCTGCTGCTGTTCTGCCTTGCAGGGGGATTTCAGTATTGGATTCTTTAGAATACTTTTTGAGACTTTGTCCCTTTGCCCTCAGTTGGGAGATTTTGGAGGTGCTGCAGCCCTGAGGGCTCTGTGCCCCCTCCTGGGGTCATCAATGCAGCTTGTTTGCTGCTTTCCTAAACGAGCAGAGTTGTGCTTTTGGGGCTCTCTGCAGGCAAAAGAGTTGGTTTCAAGCCTGTTGTGATGCTGGGAAGGTTTCTGTGGGTTTGGTTGCTCTCCAGGGCTGCACCAAACATGACTGTGAGCATGAAATATGTCACCTGGGGGTGTAGGGGAAGTCAGAGCTTTGTTCTCCCAGGAGCTGCTCAGGAGCTGCTGCACCTCTTCTAGCAGCTTCAGGGAGTAAAGGGGCTGCTCCCGTCCCTTTGACTCTTTTCCTTCAGATTCCCAAGCCTGTTCCCCACATCAAGCAGCTCAGTTTGCTGTTGCCATCCTCGTGCCTGACCTGTGTTCCCCCCAGCCCTTCATCATTCCTTGTGCAGAGCCATCACTCCTCATTCCTGCCCAAAGAGCAGGCACAGGCCATGCTGGATGTGAGCCTGGACATCAGCAGGACAGAAGGATTCCAGAGTGGGAAGCACCTTGGCTTTTCCTCACTGGTGGGAAGCAGCTGGGCTGCATCTCCAGCCTTGGTGATGTTGGTTTTGGTGTGTAGGTGCCGAGAGACACTGGAAAACATGGAGGGCAGGAATTCCCAGCTCCTTCACAAGCTGCAGAGGCTGGAGCAGGAGCATGAGGACCTGGTTGAGCGAAATGAAGAGCTGGAAGCAATTCTGGGAGAAACTCAGATCCTATCCAAACAGGAGAAGGAGCAGTTTGAGACTGAGGTAGAGGGGCTGCACCAGAAGGTAAGTATGGACTGGGAGAGGCAAGGGTTGGGTTTGGTCCATTCCAGCTGCTTTTCTCTCTGACTGGTAAAATCAAATGCTGTTTGCTCTGGAGCTGCACACTGCTGGGGTTAGTCTGACTAGAAGTACAAATAGCAGGACCTGCCAGTGCAAGAAAGAGAGAAAAGAAGGAAAAAAATCCAGCAGTTTGCCACCTGTTTGGAAGTGCACATTCCCCAGCATTGGCTTTTCCAGCTCCTGTTCCCCCTCATGGAATTCCACATTGATTTGGGTTGGAGGGACCTTAAAGCCCATCCAGGCTGAAGGCATGTTCAGGTACCTTAATGAAGATGGCAGTGGCCTCATGTGTGTCCCTCCTGTCCCTGAGGAGACAGGGACCAGCCCTGGGATGGGATGGTGCCATCTCTGTCCACTGTGGTGGTATTTCTGTTTACCTCAGGGCTTGTCCAGCTCACACCACACTGTTTCCCAGTGGAGTGGAATAAACACAACCCTTCACACATCAGCCATAATGAGTTTTCTTTTTGGACAAATCCCTTCTTTGCTCATGGATTATTATCAGATCTCTGGGAATGCCAAGGACATGTGAGGCATTCCAGGGGCAGGCACTTGGCACCTGCTGCGGCTGAAAAGGTCACATTCTGAGGCAAGCAGGGCCCTGGGGGGGAGATGGGATGGAAGAGGAGGTGGCATAACCTCTGGTTGGATCCATGGGCTCTGCTGGATGGTGCTGAGCTGCACCTGCATCACCCAGGGGCTCTGGGGAGGGCAGTGCTGCAGGGGATGTGCCAGCTCTGCTCCACGTGAGAAGGACTTGGGAGGCCTTTGTGCTCTGGCACAGCTACAGGAGCCTTGGCTGCTCAGGCCATGACTCAGGACCAGGACACCAGGACACAGAGTGAGGATTGTTCTGTTCTGGCACAGGACTTGTGAGTGCAGATTAAGTTCTTCAAAGTTAGTGACTTGGAGGCAAAACAAGCGAAATGATGGAAATATGTTTCTGGGTATCATCTTCTGACCAAAGGCTGCTTGGGGGCTGAGGAGGAAGGTGTGTTTTGCCTTTGAGATTCCTTGCAGAGCCCCAAAGCCTTGCTTAAACCCTAAATTATCATCTAGTCAGGTAAGAGGAGGTGTTTGCTGCCTGTTAGCTCTTCTGGAGACATGTGGGTGTTTCACCCACTTTTAATGCCTTTTAACACCTCAGCTGGGGAACAGCTTTGTCTTCAAACCAGCACTGCAGCAGCTTCTCTGGGTGTGAGCCATTCCCTGCTGGGAGCTCCAGCACAACCATTGAGCCCAAAGCCTGGCAGGGAGAGCAAAGCTCTGGGCCTGGATGTGCTGCTCTGGAACCACTTGGGATGGGCTGGGATTGCCTGTGCCTTGGCACATCTTTGGCTTTGGGATTACATTCCTCCCTGTGAGGTGCTGAGGCACTGGCACAGGTTGGCCAGAACAGCTGTGGCTGCTCCATCCCTGAGAGTGTTCCAGGTCAGGCTGGATGGGGCTTGGAGCAACCTGGACTAGTGGAAGGTGTCCCTGCCCATGGCAGGGGGTGAGACTGGATGGGATTTAAGGTCCTTCCAACCCAACCCAGTCTGTGATTCTGGGATTCTCTGGAGCTGGACTTTATCTGCAGCTGGGTGTCATCTCCTCCCATGTCCCTGCTCGTTCAGGGCCCTTGGCCAGAGCAGCCTGGGGGGTTACAAAGATGAAAACCATCCCCAACTTTCTCCTGAGCTGACGAGATGGAAGGGAAGCTGCACAGTGCCCAGGGGAGCAGAGGGACTGCCAGTGCCAACACATGGATTTGGGGAAAGGCTCTGTAGGAGCCATACCAGGGAGGAGACTGGGCTGCTCCTTGGCGATGCTCCTTAGCTGGGCTGCTCCTGTGAGCCCTTTGGAGCTGCAGGGCTAACAACCTTTCCCACAGGATGCCCCCAAGGGTGGATGCCTCAGGGAAAGGTGCAAATGCAGAGGGAGCACTTGTCCGGACTTTGCCTGCCAGGAGGGGCTCAGAGCTTTGCTGCCCCAAATCCTGAGTCCTGGGAGTCTTGCAGGAGGGAGTGACAACCTCCTTTGAGTGCTGGAGGGACCAGGACAAGTTCTGCTGGAGCAGGTTGAACATCTGCTTGGATGAGCTGTGTGGGAGAGGCACTGGGACAGGAGCAGGAAGGAGGGTAACCCACACCCAAACCAGGGTGTCCTGGGGTTCTCCATGGTGGACAGCACCACAGCCTGTGGAAGCTTTGGATTGTCACCATGTGCATGGCTTGTTTCTCTCCTTCTGTGGAGCAGGGTTCCTTCTTTTTCTGACTTGGCCCTAGATAGCTCCTTCCCCTTTGGAAGCAGTGGATAAAAGCTGTGAGCTGGATGTGGCAGCTGTCCATGTCCTCTCCTGCTCCTGTCTTCCAAACATGGGGCTGATCCTGCAATAGCAGCACAAGGAGCAGTTTAGTAGTAGTTGCACATTTAGCTGTGGGTCCTGGTTTGGTTCTGACTCGTGGTTTTTCCATGTTCAGATCACCAGCCTAGAGACAGAGCTACTTGGGGTGCAGAAGAACAAAGCTGAGATGGACAGGGATGAGCAGGTGTCATCTGGAGCACAGGAGATGCAGGAGGTAAGAGTTTTTCCTTGGGGAATTAATTGGTGTGTTTACAAATGTCTTAAATGAGCATCTTCAGTGACCCTCTCCTGGGGATGCTCTTTGTCAGCATCTCCAGGGAATCTGGAGCCCTTGGCTCGTGCAGGTGGATGGCTGTTTTTGGAGGAAAGCAGCCAACATGCCAATATGATCTCGTGAAAACGCATCTCTCTTAGGAGCTTGTCTTGCCTTCAGCTCTGCAATCTGAGGAGTTTGTTGATCCCTGTGAGGGTGAAGGACTTAGCTGTGTGAAGGTGCTCCATTGTTGTTCAGGGGTTAGTGGAGCTGAGGTCCTGTGTAGGCACATGTAAATCTGTTTCCCAGCAGGTTTGAGAATGGCTTTGATGTCCATTTGTTCCTTGCCAGGTGTGTCAGCCAGACAGAGGTTGTGACAGGTGGGAGAGGACCTTCCCAAGGTTCCTGGGTCTGTGAAGGCTCCGGGCCTTCAGAGAGGTCCTGCCAACCCTGGGTGTGATGTGCAGGAATCCCACTGGGAACTTTTGAGAACCTTTTTTCTCCTCTCCTTCTTCCCTAGAAGACACATTTCCTGCAATTGGTTCCTTTTTGGCTAGAAAAAAGGATGCTGTAGAAGTGCCTCTGAATGTTGCTTGTTGCAGATGTTGGAGAGCTGTCAGGAGACCATAGACAAGCTGGGGAGTCAGCTGGGAGAGCGCAGGGAGCGGAGGAAGCAGCTAGCATCTGAGCTGGAGCTGCTGAGAGAAGATCTGAAGGCTGAGAAGGTGGTGCTGGGCAGCCAGGTATGTCCTGCCCCTGTGCTGGGACTCCCTGCAGGAACCTTTGGCTGCTCCAGAAAACATCTCCAGGTGTCCCCCACTTGACTTCTCTTGCTGCATTTCTCCAGCCCTATCAGTTTGAACCATTTGGCAGGTGGTTTTCACTCCATCTGCTCTCACAGCTCTAACACCATCATTTAGGTTTCCTCTCAGTGAATCTGATACCAAATCAGGAATTCCAACTCTGTAGGCAAAACCTGATTCTCCAGAGGGCCAAGTGAGGGTTTGCAGTCTCAGATGTTTATTGCAGGAGTCAGAAAAGCCCAGAGGCACAGCAGGTGACATGAACATCCTGCTGGGCCCCAGTGCTGCTGTAGCATGCCCCAAGGACCTCAGCACAGCTTGCCTGGAAGAGTTTAAGTGCTAAATCGACTCCTGGGGGATTCTCTCTGCTGGGAGTGTTGCTGGAGCTCTGTTTTCCAGCTGGGCCATAGAGGAGAGACTGTGTGGTGGCAGCAACATTGACCAGGGGATGGCACAGGCACAGCACAGCACAGGCACAGGCAGGACAGGGAATGAAAATTAGGCTAAAAATCTAGGAGACCTGCAGATCCATGGCCTGGATCAGGCAGATAAAGGGATCTGAGGGTTAAAGTTGGGACAAAGCTCATGTTTTAGCACTTGGAGGCCTTAAATGAGCTGTGAGTCCTGTCACTTCCTTGTGTGTGATTAAACCCCAGAGAAGGCCTGAGCTGTTGACACAACTCCACGGGCTCGGGAGTTGCTTGGGGAACAGTGTCATCTAGAGGCCTGAGGTTAGTCCTGCTGCAAGGAATTCCCGCTGAAAACTCGGGATGCAAACGGAGCCTCCCTGGAGAGCAGTGAGGGAGGGGCTGGCTCAGTCCATCAGTACAGACGTGGAAAGGAATTGCCAGATTTGTGGGATGCTGCGGAAAATCACAGAATCAGTTAGGTTGGAAGGGACCACAGTGGGTCATCTGGTCCAACCTCCCTACTCAAGCAGGGCTGTCCCAGAGCACATGGCTCATTGTCCCTGGAATGCTGTGCTGTGAGCTCTTTGCATGGTCTGGAGCTCTAGCCTTGTTTGTAAGAGGTTTTGGGACATTTGAGAGGAGAAAGCTTCTTCTGAGCTTGTATTGGGCTGTGTTTCATCCACTGACTCCTGTTGTTTCCTCTCCAGGGGTTGCCTGAGTCCCAGTCAGAGCTCACCAGCCCCTGTACCACCTTCCCGAGTCTCCAGAGGACAGCAGCCAGCAGGGATCTCATGGATGTGTCCCCGGAGACGCTGCACAAAGACAGTGCTCTCTTAGATCCAGAGGTGAGCTATGGGAAGGCTCCTGGTTGCTCTGATGCCTGATGGAGGCAGGAGCTGCTGCTGCGTGTCCCTCACATAGGAGGAAATTCATCCTGGTGTAGATAAGATGACCTGAAATCGCAATGTCAGTGCTCATGAAGAGCTGTTGGTTGAAAAGTTTGAGAATCCAAGTGGTTGCCGGTGGTTAGGTTGGATAACTGTGGTTTTGGCTGAAGGATTTGGGTTCACCACTGCTTAGCAGGAGAGGTTAGTCTGGGCAGACTCCAGTTCCAGCACAGCCTGGGAGTGAGCTCCTGTGTCCTGCTGCATTTCTCCTTTCCTGCCCCTTCGATTTGCTTGGTATCTTCTCTTCATGTCTCAGGTTTGGGGGGTGCTGCTGCCTCGTGGTTAGGTGATCCTGGCAGTGGAGAGCAGCTGTCCTAGGGAGGTGCTTGGGAAGGAGTTGGATGGAGGATGCTCTGGAGAACCAGCTGAAGCCAGACCTTGTGTTCCTCCTGTGTTCCCAACAGCTGCTGGTTTTGTAGGAGATTTGACACATCCCTGAGAGCTACAGCTGGGCTACAGTAGGATGAAAGTAAACAAAGAGTCATGATTTGGTGGTAGTTTACACACAGCTACTTCCCATGCAGGAAAAAGGCCTCACACCTGTATCTTCAAGGGTGAAGAACTGCACTAAATTAGCCACAGAAGCACAAGCCATGTCTGAAGTGCTCAGAGTGCCTTGTACTGCTCAAAGGATTTCCATCAGAGCAAAGAAAATCCAAGTCCTGGTGTTTTCTGACCTTACAGGCCTCTGAAATCCCCCAAGGAAGAGAACAGAGTCCCAAGGTGGAGCAGAAACAGGAAGATCCCTGTGCAGATGCCAAGACCTATGAGGAACAGATGGCTAAAGTAGTGTTTCTGGAAGAACAGATCAAAAGCTTGAGGGAAGAACAAGAACTGCTCTGGTAAACCTTGACAAGGCGTGTGGTATTTTCTGCTCCTTAGCTCTGCTGAGTTAATCTTTGAGTCTTTTCAAAGTCCCTGTGGTGCTGCCTCTGGCAAGAACAGGCTCAGCAGCTTATCAGGTGTCCCTTTATCAGGTCAGCATCTCTGATTTGGGTGATTTCCCTCAGGGACATCAGGATGAGCCAGGAATAAACCTTGTTTCTGCAGCTACTCCAGATTCTGTGCAGCCTAACTGAGGGAGGAGCATTCTTCCCTTGAAGCCAGGTGGGATTTGGGCTAACAGTGCCCCTACTACGGGTTTGGGCTCCTTGGGGCTAAGTGCTGCCAGCAGCTGTAGGCCTCATCTTGCTCTGGGGTTTGGGTGGCCTTGGAGGACAGGTGGCAGCAGCTGTTGGGGTTGTACCTGAAGCTCTTGCAGATCCCAGCTGCCCTTTTTCAGTAGATCAATACAGATTTGGAGCTGGAGCAGCCAGACCCAGCATCTCCTTAGTGGGTAAAAGCTGGGATTAAATCCAACATGGTTTCAGCTGGCTCAGTGACCTGGAGAACTGGGATAAAGTACAACCAGGGGAAGGCAGGGAGGGAGCTGCTAAGGGATCATGGAATTGTTCAGGTTGGAAAAGGCTTCTAAGATCATCATGTCCAACCACTAACCAGGTTCACCACTAACCATGTCCCCAGGTGCCACATCCACGTGTTCTGAACGTGGGATGGTGACTCCAGCACTGCCCTGGGCAGCTGTGCCAGTGTCTGAACAGCTAGGACAGAGATTCATAGAATCCCAGACTGGCTTGGGTTGGAAGAACCTTAAGGCCCATCTGGTTCCACGCCCTGCCATGGGCAGGGACCCCTTCCCCTAGCTCACATTGCTCCAAGCCCTGTCCAACCTGGCCTGGAACATTTCCAAGGATGGAGCAGCCACAGCTTTGAGTTTGGAAGGAGACAAGTCAGACAGAAGAAGCTGCACTGGGAGAGCTGAACTCCTAGTGCTTCTCTGAGCACAGAGCAGCTCCTGTGCCCCACGTGAGGGTTTCCTTGGCCAGCCCTTAACCTGCTCACAGCTGAGCCTTTGGGCACACGTGTTTTTATGGGTCAGTGTCTCAGGGAGCCTGACCCTTGCCCAGCACTGCTGCCCCAGGATTCAATCCCCTATGGAGCCTCCTGAGGCACTTGAGTGTCTCCCTGGCCTCTCACCCCCCCAGGTTTTCCCCTTTCAGGCTGTTTCCCCTCGGATCTGTGTAGTTATCTCTTTCCTTTACTATTTCCCCTTCAAGCTCTGAATTACTAGAGAGCAACAAGAAGAAGGAGGAGCTGGAGAAGCAGCTCAGAGAGAGCAATGCAGAGAAGCAGCAGCTGCTGGAGGAGATTGCCCAGCTGAAGGGTGACATGCTGCGAGCCCGGGAGCAGCGGGACAGCGTGCTCGGAGCGCCCTGGAGGCAGAGCCCAGGCCTGGAGCAGAGGGAGGACAGGGCTCTCACCTGGCACAGCTCAGCAGGCAGCTTAGATGGGAGCCTTAAACAGGTATGGGCAACTCTGCCACCTGCACTCTGCTTTTGTCACTCACTGAGTGGCAGACCATAGTTAAAGTGGGCTGGATGCTGGTCCTGTGCTGTGAGCAGCAGCTGGGAATTAGGGATGGCTTCACCTCCTCGTGCTGTGCTTTTGGATGTGGTGGGAGCTTGGATGAGCTGAACAGCCCCTGAGTGCACGTGGCAGAAACAAGTGGTTTCAGTGCAGTTTGGCCACCTTTCTTACCTTGTGAGCTGGAAGAGAAAGGGAGGAGCAGCTCTCCCTGCCAAAAGGGGAGGGAATGATGGAGCAACCCAGGCTGGGCAGGCTGAGGAGGAGCTGGGATTCCATGCCAGGGTGTGGATGAGAAGAGAGGACTGAGTGGCTCCTGGGCAGGAGTGGGAAGGAGAGGATCAGAGTTGTGCCGAAGCCAAGGAGCAGCAAATCCATACAGGTAGAGCAGAACAAGACACAAGGTGAAGCTGGACAGGATCCTGATAGGAGCAGGTGGGAAAAACCCACAAAACCTAAAGGATCTCAAGGACAACTGCCACTGCCAGACCCCACAGTGCTGGGTCAAGACTTCCCAGCTTGGGAAGTTATCTGGGAAGGGAAACTTCATCTCCAGTGGATTTCCTCTGGTCCCAAGTGCAGAGGGTGAAGAC